GAACATATTCACACACACACAAACCACAAACACATAGACATAGACAAACACAGACATACATACAGACACCCACACACACAGATGCATAGACATAGAAACACATAGACAAAATGGACAGACAGATACACACATGTACACACATGTTAGAACTAATAAGTGAGCATGACAATGTGGGATGCAAAATTGTATTAGTTACTTTTTTCATTGTGGTTTGTGACAAAATACTTGACAGAAACAACTTGAAGGGAAGGGAAAAGATTTATTTTGGCACACAGTTCCAGAGGCGTCAGTCCGTAGTGGTGGGGAGTTCATATCAAGGTGGTCAGGAAGCACGAAAAGGGGATGCTGGCATTTAGCTGGGGTCCTCCATTGCCCGTTTTATTCCACAGGGACCCTCCGGCCTGTGAGATGGTGCTGCCCACATTCTAGTTGGATCTTCCCCATTAATTCTCTCTGGGGGTGATCTCTCCCTAATATCTCAGGTGACTGTAAATCCAGTTACTTCAACAATCAAGATTAACCACCACAAAGATTAAGTATCAAGTTTCAAAAACCAACTGTATTTCTGTACAATGTGCAATCTGGAAATGAAATGAAGAATTCAGTACTTCTCACAATAGCATAAAAAAGCATGAGATTCCTAGGGATAGATTTATCAAAAGAAGTCAAGAAGCATTCACTGAAAATCATAAAACCTTGCTGGAGACACCAGTGAAAGTGAACTTAGACACTTCCATCATTGTACAGCAAAAGCACCTGTGACTGTATCATGCATTTAAATGCAATAGCTAACCCTAACAGAATAAAACCATTAGAAAAAAGCTTAGGAGAAAATCTCCGAGACTTCAGGTTAGGAAAAGATTTCTTCATCATATCACCAATGCACAGTCCATAGAAGAAGCAGATAATTTGGACTTTACCAAAAATTAAAAACCTTTATGTTTCAAAAGAAATCATCAAAGGAAAGGAAAAAGACAGGCAACAGATTTGGAAATTGAAAAACAGGTGGTGCAAAAGAAATGGAAATTTAAGATGATTTTAGGAGAGGAGGAAAGTTAATGTGCTAGTAAATGGGCTGTGGAAAGACCAGAGGGCTGAAGGAAAAGTTCAGCATCTTGCTTCAGCTCTCAGCTTAGCCATTACCCACCTGTTTGCTTCCGGGTACAATTTTCTGAACCTGGGGACTCATCATGTCTAAAGGATTGAAGTGCTACTTGGAGATTGTGATTAGAACTGAACTCTCAACAAACATCAGCCATTATTGTTGATCTTATTAACTAACCTTGTAATCTTATTAGAGAATGGTGTGCACAAAGGACCTAATGATTTCTTGTATATATTAAATATTCAAAACTTATTTATTATTAAACACTAACCTATTACAGAGAAACCAAAAGAAAAGTTAAAGTATGATCATGATCCATTTTAACTCTGATCATTATAAGGGAAAAAACCCAAGAATTCCAAGTTTTAGCCAATAGAACGCTTATTTTAAAGTTCATTGATAATATGACAGAAGTAGAAATCCCCTAGGGTGAAGATTTTATTTCATTGTATCACTGTGCTTTATTGTAGTCCAAATGTGTACCTTAGACTTGCTGGGAGGGAGAGGTAGGTGAACAGCACATGTTTTATTTATCATGGAATATTTTATTCATCCATCCAGTCATTTTTATTATTGGCATTAGTTCTTCAAAAATAAGTTAATTGTGACATTTTCATACATACATCTGATGTACTTTGATCATGTCCCCCTCCTAGTACCATCCCTTATTTCCACCCTGAACCCCATTTTCTTAAGACCAATTTTTCTATTTCCATGTCTATTTTTTCTGCAGATTCCAAATACAAGGAAAATGTGATACATTTCTTTCAGGGTCTGGCTTAGTTCAGTTGACATCTATGACCTCTAGTTCCACCTGTTTTTCTTTTTAAAACAATTTATTTATTTATTTTTATTTTATGTGCATGAGTTCTGCCTGCATATATGTAAGTGCACCCATACAGTTAAACCCACAGAGGTCAGAAGAGGGCCTCAGATTCCCCAGAACTGGAATTACAGATTAGCCACCCTGGGAACTGAACCTTGGTCCTCTACAAGAGCAGCCAGTGCTCTTAACTGCTGAGCCAACTCTCCAGCCCCTGAGCTGTTTTTCTACAAGGGACACGATTTCATTCTTCTTTTTTAGAAATATTTTTATTGAGTTTTTGTGCATTTCATATAATAGATCTTGATTTTTTCTTCTTTATGGAGAAATATAACTCGGTGTATATACGTACACCGCATTTTCTTCATCCATCATAATTTGATGGGTACCTAGGCTGGCTCTTTATCTTGGTTATTGTGAACAGTATAGAAGTGAAGATGGATGTGTGAGTATCTCCATGATGTGCTGGCTGAGATTCTTCTGTATAGTCCAGGAATAGACTAGCTGGATTATATAGCAGCTCTATTTTTAATTTTTTGAGGAACCTCCACCCTGATTTCCATAAAGGCTGCACTAGTTTATATTTCCACCAACAGCGTGTAAGGGTCCTCCCCACAACCAGGGTGAGATGGAATTTCAATGTAGTTTTGATTTGCATTTTCCTGGGGGCAATCAATTTGAATTCTTTCCATCCCTTATGTTTCCATGAATGAATTTATTTCCACTCTCTGTCAAAGACCTTGATAAATCCCCAGTCTCCAGGAAGTCTGAGGAAGTTCTGTTCTGACTTGTGTTTGCCAGTGGATCAGCTGTTCCTAAGAAATGAAGGGATTGCCCAAGGCACAGGGCTGGGAAGTGGGATGGCTTAGACCAACTGTTGAGTGTTCCTTGTTCTTTTAAGGGTTCTGGGGGATATATGAGAAGACCTATAGTCAAATGTGGGACCTACTTCATAGGGCAGTTGTGGGGCCTATGCTCCCAGGTAAAATAGGAGAAGATTCTGTGAGATCAGCCAGAAGTCTAGTCAGGAGTGGTCTCAAAGATTAGAGTGAGAAGTGCAGCTGAGCACCTGGCACTGGTCTGGAACCTCATCCCTGCCCAGTTCCCAGGGTGGGGTCACCCTGAGCAAGAGGCTGAAAGAACAGTTACATTATACTCTGTGTGTGTCGGAGGCAGGGGGCACTGAATTTGCCACAGAATGGCACAGCCTGGAAGGCCTATTAACAGTTTGGGATTATTCTTCCAGCTTGCGGATGTGAATTCTGGGGTCAGGGGCCAGCAGAGGCTCTGATGAGGACTTACTTCCAGGAAGCAGGTGGTCCCTCTTGCTGGGTCCTCATGGGGGAAAGGAGCTTGTGGAGCTCTTTCGGCCCTTTTTGATAAGGACACTAAATGATCTAGCACAGCCCAGGGCACTCACTCCTACTACCATCACCTTGGGGGAGAGTTTTGGCAACATGAAAACATTGAATCTATAGCAGACATCTTTTGTGTGTTAGAGACAGAGCCAGTGTGATGGATGGAGGGAAGGAGTCAAAGAGAGAGGAAGGGAAGGAGGGAGAGAGAGAGAGAGAGAGAGAGTCTTCCTCAGCTCATTGCTGTTCATCCTGACCAGGAAACAGAGAGCTCGTCTCTTCCTTCCCTTCCAGAGAAAGTTAAGACTTGTCAAGACTAGATGGAACCAAATCCTCCCATTGCCATGGTTGTGATGCCTAATTAGCTGAAGGCATTCCAGAGGCTCTGCGACTGCTCTCTGCTCTAACACAGGCTGCTGCCCCAATCTCTAGGGAGAACTCTCATCTGTGCTCCTATCATTCTCTAGACCTTTCTTTCCTTACCTCTAAGTCAGTTTCTCTGTTTGTATATCTTCCTCAATCTATCTTGGTATTTTTCTCTCTCTGTCTCTCGTAGTCTCCCTGTGTTCCTGTCTTTTGTCTCTTTATCTCCATCGTTCTGTATTTCTATCTCTATCTCTGTCTTGTTCTAAGACTTTTTTTTAACTTTAAGAGAAAATGTATTGATTCAAGAATTTCATACATTGAATTTTGATTATATTCAGGTCTCCTCTCCCATCTCCACCCTGATCCTACCATCCTCCACCTCTGACTTCATGTCTTCTATGAGCAAATGAAAAACCTCATCCATCTTACATAACACCTCTGAGCTAGGCACAGGAGAAATCATATTTCATTAGAATGTCAGTGATCTATAGTTCTTACACTCAGGTGTGTCAAAGTCAGGGCCCACTCCCTTTCCTTTGTACGTGGTTTTGGGTCAGAATACACCCAGGTTTCTTGGAATGGGATTTTCTCTCTTAATTTCTGTTTCTCTTACACACAGTTTAGGAATGTCAAGTAGGGATTTCTCTTTTCCTCAGTGCTCAGAAATGCTTGGTTTTCCTCATCAAAGTTAGCTGTTCACAGCCCTTGCATGCAGGTTACACTCTGGCTATTTCAGGGCATCACTCAGCACAATGACCCCACTGTGGGCCAAGGCATTCTCCAACAGGCTGATTCCCCTACTGGTTTTACTGTGGGTAAAAGAAGCTAAGTCCGCACAGGAGGCAGCAGTTGGCTCACAGGCCTCCAATGCAGGATTCTCTGAGTGGCAGTTGCAAAGTTTCACAGCATCACATGACAGCTTGACACCAGTGTCGTCTAGCTTATTTTCTGAAATGTGCAGACTTTGCAGATTCCTAATGTTGCACTGGGTGATGATGATGGTCAGCCAACCATTGGTGCCACTGAGGTGTGTGGGTGGCCAGGCGGTTTGGCTCCACTGGTGAGCATGGACAGACAGTACAGCTCTGCTCTGCCGCTGTGCATGGGCACCAGGCAAGCTGGCTCCACCATCTTGGCTTTCCCGTTATTTCCCTCCTACTTGCCAAATTCTGAGTTCAGAATTTTGAGATCAATATAGAGGCACATATGGTCAGGTAAATAAATATTCATCTTGTATGATAAGGTTCATCACATGGTCCATCACATGCATCAGTCTCTTGGGAGATGCCCAGGGCATGCCTCATTCCTACAACATCTTTTCTCCCAACATCATCACTTTGAGCTGTCTTATCATAGCACTTCTTGTATGTATCAAAGCTCTTACCGAACAATGAGTTCTGGGTTACCTCAGAGGATTTGTTTTTGCACCTGTCTTTCATTCCTTTGTCCACCAGTTGAACAAAAACACACACACAAAGTGCTATCGACTCCTTCTTGACCTCTTTCAAATCCTGTTGCTTTCTCCCTGCTCCAGTCTCCCTCTGTCTTTCCCAGGTGGTCATCCACTCTGCCTTCCCTGGAGATGCTCATTCTGCCATTTCAGGTCCCAACTGGCCACAAGGCACAGCCACATCCCAGTGCTGACCTGCATGGCCACCTTCACAGGCTTTAGTCAGGTGATACTGGACAGAAGTTTTTTCAGATTCTCATGGACTGTGGATGATAGGTCATACTGTAAGCACTGGAGTAAGAGGGTGTTTCACACCTCCAGGATGGGCTGGCCTAGGCCTGTATGTCTACCTCTACACTAAAGTAGGGCAGGTATGCAATTTCAAGTTCAGGTCCTTCACTTCCCTTCTGGTTCATGGCAACTAGTCAACCTGTGGAGCCCTTCCTGTGTTGCATTGTGAAATGCAGACTCCCTGTTTGGACAGCTCATGCCAGGAAGTTCAGCCTGTTCCAACTCAATTCTTTCCCATGCTCCCCAGATCGAGTTCTTAGAGTGTCCTTTCAAGGCCTCCAGATGGGTGGATGGGGCCCACCCACATAGTGGAGGGTCATTTGCTTTGCTCAGAGTCTGCCAGTTTAAATGGTAATCTTATCTAAAACATGTCAGCTCAGCAACAGCTGGACTAGTGTCTAATTGAACATCTGGGTCCTGTGGCTATAAGGTACATACCATTGGGCATCACAAGCATGATTCGAATTGATGGTAATCACAGGAGTGTTTGTTTAGGAGACAGCTGGCCGTAGGCTGAGCAGTGCCCCTATGTGTCCATCTGAGAACTTATGAGGACAGACTGCTGGTCCCCATGGAGTCATGAAGCAGCAGCTGGCTTTCAGAGGAGGCTCAGGAGACAGAGGCTGCCTCAGGCACTGCTGGCCTCCTTGGAGAAGCCCAGGGACCCAGAGCTTCAGGGTAAAGACAGCAGGCTTGGAGAACTGAAGCTGCCTGGTCCACAGGACTGCCCTCTTGCTCTCCTCATACCTGGGCCATACACAGGAACTGGCTGTTTTTGGAGTTACAGAATTAGGAGAGAGGCTCAGCTTCCCCTGTGACAACCAACTGGTGACACGAGGAAGGGGCTGTGCCCCTTCCAGGCCTGTGCAGGGCAGGATGGGCCCCTGCTCTTCTGTCTCCCCAGAGGGTATGGGCAGGCCCAACAGGCTCTCCTCCCAGGGCAGGCTATCCTCACTCTGCACTTTGTGCTTTATGTGCTGTCTTCTGTAAATGTGTATGTCTTACGTGTTTGAAGCTATCTGTGGAGGGGGTGTTTGGTGTGAAGGACCAACTGTAACTGTAGGCCCAACACACACACACACACACACTCCACATACATATAGACACATAATTATACACACTACATACACAATCACATACACATGACACACATGAGACACCACACACAGAGACACATATGACACACATAAACACAACACAGTGACACATATCACACAATCATACACACCACACAATCACACACACATCACACATACACATCACAAAGTCACACACACACCAACCACACAATCATACACACACACACACACACACACACACACACACACACACATACTTACACCCTTGCCTCCAGCCTGGGAGGTGGGCAATGAAGGTGTGCTTGCTGCTTTTGACACTTGTCCTTGGGGTAGCTACGGTGCCACTAGCAGCACTTGTGACTTTGTCCACAGGAAGAACCACAAGAGTTCCATATGTGTGGTATCAGAACTTTAAATGATGGCACTTGCTAATGGCACTTGCTAGACCTTCCACTGGACCTTCTTTCACTTGGTGCATTAAAAACGAAGCTCATATATCACAATGTATCCCCTTTAATCATAAGGACTTTATCTAGCATTAAAGAACTTTATTCTCTTCATCACATCCCTGGATATTAGAAAGCTCTCCAGCATGTCCCAGGTTAAGGATCCAAAGAAGAATTGACAGCAAATAACATACTGCGTCACTAAATTCAGAGAAAACCAGTGGAGAATCCTCAACTCCAGTTTCAGGAGACCCGACACAAAACACTCATACAGATGAAAAACTAAAATAAATTAAAAGAACCCACTTTGGACTCAGTGTTCTTAAAAACAGCAAAGAATCAATGAGATTTTATTTATATATTTACCCATATTTAGTATAAGAAGCCTGAATTGAAATTTGTCTCTGTTTTTGAGACATGGTGTTATATCTCAGGCTGGCCCTGAACTAACAGCAAGACTCCTGCCTCATCTTCCCCTAGGGTTACAGGCACGCTCTACCATACCCAACTCAAACTGGAGAGTTTTAAAAAACAAGAACAGAAAGCAGCCATTCTGTTCTACAAGCACGGAGGTTCTAGAAAGTTCCACCAGGGAGAAAAATAAAAATGAAGAGGCAATTGACTTCTCACCATTGTGACCAGAATGACTATGTCATCTTAGGCCCCCTGAAGGGGGTGGGGCACCCAAGAGTCCCTGGAGAGAATGCATTTAGAGAAACTGGGTACCATCTTGGATACAATAACTGAGTGATGCCTAAGGAACATCAAGGTAGGAATGAAAACAAGAAGTGGCTTTGAGGGTGATGTCCCAGCTAGGGAAATACATTAGAAGTCATTATATTTGGAGCATCAGCTGGAGGACTGAGAGGAAGAGTGGGGAGAGACCCTAGGTCAGGAGCAGGAGAGTGCTGGAGGGATCTTGGGGGGAGATACTGGATGGCACTGGAGGGTGCTGTAAGCAGCTGTACCAGCATGTGCTCTGACTTCCTTCGCAGTGGCCAGACATGGATGTGCCACATAGGGGCTCTGCTCAGCCAGCAGCCTGGACACTCTGCTTCCTCCTAGGTGTGGTTGTGCATAAGGTTCTGGCTTCGTGAAAGCAGGACCAACATTCTCCATTGATGAAGAAGCCCATCATCTCTGCCCCAGGATCCCAGGGTCGCACCTGCCCTGCCTTTTCATGTGAATGGCTGAGTCTCTTCTTTGATAGCCATCCTGCTTGTCCTCCAGAAACTCCCAACAGAAAGAAACCTGAATGTGGCGAGAGTTTTGGAGAAAGTACCAGGATCCCCAGCTGTTCCTTGTTCCCCCGATCCCTCCCGCCTCTGGTGGGGTTGAATTGCCAGCTCCCTCCTCCTGATTGCCTGTTCTGGGTCATGGTGGCCTTGTTTGCTTCCTGTACAGAGAGACAGATGAAAGGCCACTGGGGAGAATGTCCAGTTGCCCATGGGCACATCTGGAGGACACATGTCCTTACACTCCCTGAAAAGTTCCTATAAATAATAACAGTGGAGACTATCAGTTGACTGTGTGACTCTCCCTCCCCCTAGTAGGCTGTTCCCATGCTCAGAGCCCTCCTGAGAAATGAGGTCCTGAGAATGCGGGATAACTTTGGAACTGGCAGTGCAGCTTGGTTCTCTCAGACCCACACCCAGTATTCTGTTGCCCTGGATTCCCAGTGTTTACCCATTTTCCTTCCAGGCTGGGATTCCTTCTTTGCTCCAACAGGAGGACCCAGCAGATGTCAGAGTTGAAGGAGGAGGAGGCCTGGGCACTGCACAACTTTAGACTCCTGCTTAGGGAGGAGAGCCTGGCACTGGACAGCTGGAGTTTGTCCAGCAAGGTAAGAGGGGCACCCTCAGAAGCTCTCACCTTGAACTTCCCCGCTGCACCAAGTGGTCCTGATTTCCACCGTGCTTCTTTAGTTCATTTATTCATTCAACACACAAAATCGTTCAGACGCTTGTGACTGGCCGGGTACAGGGAGCAGAAGGACACAGGTAGGAAGACGCAAAGCAAGGTTGCAGAGTATGCATCTTCAGCACAAGCATCCTGATGCAGCACCCATGTAACTGTGTGCATCATCCCAGAAAGATCGTGAATCCTTACCTAGAATCCTGGACTAAACATCCCGGGTTCAGCATCCTTGATGGACAGACAGCATTCCAGACCTAGAAACTCCAATTGAGCATCAGGTATTGTGCAGACCAATAAAGCCTCCCGCCATCCTCGTTCTCCTAGCCTGGCCGGTGCTGTCCCCTGCTGGTGATTCACCATACTGCAGGCTCCGAGTTTTCCTGCAGAGGGGTTAACGGTGCATTATCCTCAGACTCAAAGGGCTGTGATTAAAGCACTTTGACCAAAAGCAACTTCAGGAAGAAAGGGTTTATTTGGCTTACATTTCCAGGTCACAATCCATCAGTGAGGGAAGTCAGGGAAGGAACTCAAGGCAGGAGCACAAAGACAGGAACCTTGGAGAAACTTGACTTCCTGGTTTGCTTTCTGGCTCATGTTCAGCTAGCTTATAGAAGTCCATCTACATGCTTAGGGATTGTGCTGCCCACAGTTGGGCTGGATTTTCCCTCAGCAATCAAGACAATCTCTCTCAGACATGGCCTCAGGCCAATTTGATTCTTCAATTGAGGTTCCCTCTTCCTAGGTGACTCTAGATTGTATAATGTTGACAATAAAAATCAACCAACACAAGCAGTTTCTTTTTGGTGACAAATGATTAAGAGGGCTGTGCCTCTGGAGAGTGAGCCAGATTGCCAAGTTTGATTGCTGAGAATTTGAGGTTCTTCTTTTCCTGATGCTTAGTAGATGAGTAGAGGCTAGAACAGGAGGGATCCAGCAGCCCTGGGCATGGACATGGAGAACCCACTTCCTTGTGCCCACATCCTCATGCCAAAAGTCAAAGAGAAGGGGCTTGGTATAGCCAGAGAGAGAGCTTGGGGGCAAGGCAGGCATCAAACTCACCTCTCCTGACTCAGCCCACTACCTTCCCAATACCCCGAGTCCTTAAGTAGCTCCTGTGACAGCCTGGTGCTTCCCCTGGGAAGATTAGGCAGGGAACTTTCTGTCTCTGTGAGCTCAGGTCTGGCCTCCTTAGTAGGGTTGTTTTGAACCCTTTAGGCTATCACAAATATAGATCCTGGAACTAAGAAAAGCAGGCTTTGTGGAGGGTGGACCTTGTGATTGCAGTGCCTTCTTTCCAAA